AGGAATCTCTTTAAATGACAATCTTTTGCAGGGACCAGACCAAACGAATGCACTTTTAGACGTGTTGACCAGATTCCGTATGGAGAACATAGCTTTCACAGCCGATATTGAAAATATGTTCCATCAAGTTTATGTTCCAGAGTCTGACCGCGATTTATTCAGATTCCTGTGGTGGAAAGATGGCGATCCTCAAAATGATATATTGGAATACCGCATGAAGGTTCATGTTTTTGGAGCCACTTCTTCACCCAGTATAGCATGCTTTGCATTACGCAAGACAGCTTTAGACAACCGAGGGTGTTTCTCGAATGAAAGCTGTGCTACTATTGAGAAGAATTTTTACGTCGACGACTTGCTGAAGGCAATGCCTGACGAAGGAAGCGCTATACTGCTGCTTCGAGACCTGATGGTTTTGTGCAAACGAGGGGGATTTACTTTAAAGAAGATTTCGAGCAATAGTTCCGCTCTGATTGCATCCATTCCTAGCGAATCGCGGTCTAAGCAATTGGCGTACTGGACCAGCGATAGTAGTCACCTTCCCACTGAGCGAGTATTGGGTGTAATCTGGGACACTGAACAAGATGTGTTAAAGATGGCATTGGATCACGACAAGCTAGTTGCCCGGCCGATGACAAGACGAGGATTACTGTCAGCTGTAAGCTCCTTGTATGATCCAATTGGCATGTCATGCCCATCCATGCTGAAGGGACGCCTCATCTTGCAAGAATTGAGCAGGCTACATAATGGATGGGATGATAGTATTCCGCTTGTCAAGCAGCAAGAGTGGACGGCTTGGCTATCAGCTCTAAATGAAGTGAATGAATTGTCAGTGAATCGTTGTGTAAAACCTGATAACTTTGGAGACGTAGTATCTTGTCAACTTCATCATTTTGCTGACGCCAGTGAAGTAGCATACGGAACGGTTTCTTACATCCGGCTTACGAATGTCAAAGGACAAATCTGTTGTTCTTTTCTCAAGGGCAAGATGCATTTAGCGCCTCTCAAAGGAGCTACAATACCTCGTCTGGAGCTCATGGCGGCAACGACGGCGGTAAAAATATGCTCCCTGATAGGTGATACCATTGAATTCGATGATGTCGAGCATATATTTTGGACTGACAGCACCACCGTTTTAAGGTACATTCAGAACAAAGCGAAGCGTTTTCACACCTTTGTAGCAAATAGATTGGCAATAATCCACGATGGGTCAAGGCCAGAACAATGGAGGTATGTCAATAGTTCAGACAATCCAGCTGACGACGTGTCTAGGGGTGTCCAAAGTAAGAGATGGCTGAATGGACCTGAATTCCTTTGGAAGGACAAAGGCTTTTGGCCCTCAGCACCGATCGCCTTCAGGGAGGTGACGGAGGACGACCCCGAAGTGCGAAAAACGGCGATATGCGCTAAAACTGCGATTGTACCAGATTCTGAAACTCCGATGGAGCGGCTCATTTTACATTATAGTCAGAAAGAATCCCTGCTCAGAGGATTGTCGTGGCTGTCACGATTTACAAGATCACTTAAGGAAGGACAGAAGGGGTTTATAAAAATGTCTCCCCCTTTGTGCTATGAGGAGCAACGTGAAGCAGAAAAGAAAATAATTCGACATATACAAGAACATGAATTTCCAAGGGAGTATGAAAACCTGTCAGTTGGCGCTGAGGTACCAAGAACCAGTCGATTAGTGAAGCTTCACCCTTTCATGCAAGACGGTATCATTAGGGTAGGTGGAAGATTAGCAGAGGCTTCGATTTTAGAAGAAACAAAACATCCTATCGTTATTCCGAGTCGTGGTCATTTTACAGAACTACTCATTACGGACGCCCATGAAGCCGTAGGGCACAGTGGGAGACAGTTCACGCTAGCGAAACTTCGAAAACGTTTTTGGATTCTGAAGGGAATTTCAAGTGTAAGACGTGTTCTAAACAGTTGTTTGAGTTGCACTAAACTCTACCGACCACCTGAATCACAACAAATGGCCAATCTTCCGTCTGACAGAGTGCAAGCTCAAGAGCCACCGTTTACGCGAACAGGTGTGGATTACTTTGGACCATTTTATGTCACTCAAGGTCGTTCACAGGTCAAGAGATATGGGGTCATATTCACCTGTCTTGCTATCAGGGCCGTACATCTGGAGGTTGCTGAAAATCTGACGTCAGACTCATTCATTTGCGCCCTGCGCAGATTCGTTGCACGTAGAGGTAATGTTCAAATACTAAGGTCTGACAACGGAACAAATTTTACTGGAGCCAACAGGGAACTGCGCTTAGAGATGACAAGGTTATCAGAAAATGAGCATGTGTTACAAAGAGCAATGCTCAAGCGAGGAATTACATGGAAATTCAACGTGGCAGGCGCCTCCCATCATGGTGGGGTGTGGGAACGTCAGATACGATCCATACGAAGAATACTCGAATCCCTTTTAACATCGCAATCGCTCAAGGAAGAGACACTCCGAACCATATTTTGTGAAGTTGAAAACATACTGAACAGTAGACCGCTTACGCCAGTATCTAGCGACGTCAGGGACGATCCACCTCTCTCGCCAAATGACATTCTTCTTCTGGGAGGACATGGTGTAACGTTACCATTCGGAGTCTTCTCCCAGGCGGACCATGGAAATAGAAAAAAATGGAAGCAAGCTCGTCATTTCGCAAATGTTTTTTGGACACGGTGGAGATCCGAATACTTACCGACTCTACAAGAAAGGCACGTTATGACAGAAACAAGAAAGAACTTTCAACCAGGAGACACAGTTCTGCTTGTTGATGATAGTGTTCCCAGAGGCCAGTGGCCACTCGGTTTGATTGAAGCTGTTCGAACTAGTTCCGATGGATTGGTTCGATCTGCGACTGTCCGAACAAGAGGGACAGTAATGCAGCGCCCAGTGACAAAACTGGTGAAGTTAAATTGAAACCTCTCGTTTTCGACCCCTCGTGGTTTCAAGGGGGTGGGTGTTGGCGCCGCCCAGCAAGAGGGTTCGCCGCAGTGTGTATACGCGAGAAAATTGTCACGCGATTTTATAATTTCGAATTCAGTATTTTGTTTCCGTCTCAGCTGGAGTTTATTGCAAGTTTATTGCGCTAAATTGAATATGGAGTATAGTTAGGTGATATTTTGTGTTAAGTGTTAACATATTTTGAACCCCGCAGACTCATGTAAGTACGCATTTTGTTGTGGTAATAGACACGACTTTCGTTAGTAGTGAGAGTGACGATCTTGGTTATATCTGTAACGTTAGATCTTGTATGAGATGATTTAGGTAAATGCATAGTGTTGTTGTCCTTAAACCTATGTCTCCAAGTTGTATGACGTGATGTCATGTATTCCAGAAACGGCAACATGGAACTCAAGAGAGATATGTTTGTTTCTATTATTTGAGTAAGAAGATGCTCGAATAGTGCAATTAGACCGTATTGAGTGCGGTGGTAAAGGCCATAATTGATTTGCTGATTTAGCGTAATCAAAACACTTCTTGCGAGCTATTGCCACTCATCGCTCGCACTCCAGATGCACTGAATGTCGACCGGTGGCAATATCGCGGGAGCTTATTTCTATTGATGTTGTATTAGAAATAAGCTGATTTATAGGCTGGTGTCGCTTTGTTTTTTATGAGCATAACACAGTGCCGGCAGGCCTCATATTATTGACCGTTTTGTTTAAGTCACGCTCGATAGTTTGGCATTACAGGAGATGGCATTGTGACGGGTGCGCCGTGCTCAAATCATTGCTCTTGCTAATCATCATTCTTTGATTTTACACCGTTTCCGACAGTGTCAGCCATGCTAAACTGATGTGTACAGGTAGCTCAGAGTGGACTGTAACAAGGCAAAAACCTGAGCCCAATCATTTCCCAAGCTAGCTGTTTTTCCATGAAGCTAGCTGGGCTTTCTCTGTGTTCCGGGGAGAAATCCGATCTGCCCGTGATTGCACGCTGACCCGGGGCGGGACAGATTACCTCGGCAAATAGGATCGCCGGGCGACCATCTCCTAATGATAGAATATCTCTGCCCGCGCAGAACGGAGACCGATGCGTATTGATTGCCGTTGTCCTGTCTGTTTGTCCCGACTATTACAGAAAACAGGCGGCGATTGGCAATTGCCAGTCACATTCATTGGTATTGTTGGGGAATAACTGACTATCGAAAAAGACAATTGTGATAGACCTCGAAGCTAATTGCAAGTGATTTGGCATTCGTTGTCTTTACTTACTTCTGTCTTTTGTAGCCTCAGAGTATCAGATTCAGAACTGCTTCACACATTTTGATCTTGTCTTATCTTCAAACTTATCGGAAAAGTCTTTTATTACTTCGCAGAAAATTGTTCCCAATTGAAATCAAGGCCAATGATACTGGCCAAACATTGTGAGTAGCTAAGGTGAAGAGCAGTAGCTAACGGAGGTTTGTCGATGCATAAATTATGCTAGAATCGTTGGAAGTGAGAACGCTTGGTCGCTTTGTTTTTGTTTGGTCAGGCATGATAGGGCCCGTTTGTCGGTTTGATCAATCTATTGAGACCATTTCAGGAACATTTGATGAAAGGATAAGTAATAAACATTAGACTGAGTCGACTGCCTATCAGTGCTCCGCAGCGCGGTTCAGTCTATGCTGTGTTAGGAAAGGAGTTTCATGCTGGGTCAGGTGTGAGATTATCCATCCTCTCAAACGGCCACCAAGGAGGTGTGCACTGCACTGGAGCTGACCCTCCACCGGTTGTCAGACTGGAAAGGAAAATAATATAAATATCAGGAGGCATGGTCTTCAGGATTGAGAGAACACATGGTTCGTTTACAAGCCTGGCTGCATGACAAGTTAACTGGCACGTTTTTAATGAAAATGTAGCAAGTAGGTACCTACATTGCTTCTAATACGAAGTAGATCTCCCAAAAATTAGATGCCACCCCCATAACTATTATTGCTGTAAACCCTTGCATGCTTTGTCCAACGATTTGTCTTTTTTCCGAACCTCTTCCTATGCACTAACTACCTAGCGTCACTGACCTGTCTCACCCCACGTGTCGATGCCGCCGCCGCTCTGCACAGGAGCTCCGCTCGTCAACCGCCGCCCTCCGCCGGCCGCCGCAGACTGACTGACGCGAGCCGGCGTCGGCGGCCCGCCCTCACCCGCCCGGATCATCGTGATCGCACGCCGGTCCGCAAACCTGAGCGGGTCTCTCTCGGTGCTGCAGAACATCACCACGAAAGATTTATTAGAGCTGACGTACCGACACTACACATACACTGCACTTTCGGATGAGTAGTTCGCGCTGAGAGGCGCCCCTCATGATTTTACGCGACGAGTCCAGGGAAGTTGCGTGCTCCTGCCGCTAGATGGCACGGGTATCGAGCGCCTGCAGTTATGCTGTACCGCAATGCCTGTGTATGTGCCGGGAAACGTCGTCGTTCTGCGCCAGTCTGCGTATCGATATTTTTCTGACTATTGAAATGAAGAAGCAATGGTTCTCGAAACGCATTTATTGATTAGTCACTAGCCACATTTCTCGACAATTCCGACCTACCTCCCTGGTATGTTCTCTTCGAAACATTTAGATCTTTCCCCAAGGCCCAACCTGTATACCTTACGGCAGCTTATTACGGAGCGAGCGAAGCGAGCGGAGTCTTTCCTTAGATTAACGGAAATTTCTGAGTATGAGCGGCCGGCCGGCCGGCCGGCCGTGCGGACGCTTTTGCGAGGCTTATATCACAGCAACCACTCGACCGATTTACACGCGGTAATTTTTGTAGGGTAGCTTCATTCCTTCTACCAAGTATTGGACTATTCCCGATGCATGTGGGTGACCCCTTATGCACGTGCCACGTGCAAAACAAAGAGGTGTCACTTTTGTAATTGTTACAATATCTCGGTAACTACTTGGCCGATTGCGCTGAAAGTTGGCATTTAGGTAGGCACCCACTAGGCAATGCGTATACATGTGCCAGAGTTGGGGTGCTGCTGCACGTGCGCACGTGCAGGGGTCGTTTCCAGATCTCGAGAACGGCTCGACCGATTGCGCTCAAATTTGGTACACAGTTAGGGACCGGTTAGTAGGGTGCCGTGCAAAATTCAGTCGGGACCCATTTTGCACGTGCGCACGTGCAGGGTGCCGCTTCCAGATCTCGAGAACGGCTGGGCCGATTGTTCTCAAATTTGGCACATCGCTAGAGACCGGTTAGTAGGGTGCCGTGCAAAATGGGTCCCGACTGAATCAGTTGGATCCAACTGACTGAGTCAGTTGGAGGTACCTTCTCGCAAGTTCGCACGTGCAATGCAAGGCCCACCCTCTCGCTCGCTCCGTTAGTCGCCCCAAAAGGCGTTATACTGGTACGTATTTCGAGATAATTAGACAAAGCAAGGGAGACATATTTCCTTTTTTATAAATTTAGTCCGAACCTTTTGATAGGTAGGATTCACAAGGACAGAGCCACGGCTAAGCGAAGCTTGTTGCGGCGACCCTGCTCTCTACCCTCCGATCGCGCAATTCCGGTTCTATGGCAGAATTTAGAGTCCAAAGCTTAACGTGCGCACATAACCGCGCACGGCCGGTCCCCTCACTGACTTCGCCTGGCTACGGCCTGCCACGAACCGCAACCATACCTGTCAGGAGGCCCATAAATGTCAAGCGACCGTCGCGCTTCGAACCCGGACTGTCATAACCGGGAACGCGTGCTCTCACCACGCGGAGTCCAACGCTCTACCAACTGAGCTACGGGACCGGCAAACATGGTTTTTCCTTACAACCAACACATGGTGCGTTTATACATAAGGGAATAATTCCTTCTCCGAATGAAGCTTCTAACTGATATATGTAATTGTTGCCTTGTGAAGCACTGAAGCTGTATTTCCACCACTCTAGCGAAGTTTTAATCGCTGCCAGCAGAAAGCGGCACGGACGATAAACTCTTGGGACGAAAATAAGTTCGGAGCGTGGAGAGCGATTGCCAATGTTTTCTAGCCTGCTACAAGTTCGCCCTGGACTTCGTACTAGCTCAATTGCTCCGTTGTTTGTTGGCAGATGAAGCATGTCGCTGCCACGCTCAAACTACTCTCTGGACTTTGTTGGATGGGAAGATGTTGTTAGCTCTATCGTTTCAGCCGACAGTTGTTGAGATCTATGCGTGCTAAGTTGCAGTGAGACTAAATGACAATGAAGTCGTGCATAAATGCTGCCGGAAATTCGCTGATAAATGCCGCCTTCGGTTAGAACGGGGCTTGCAGCAATGCTACCTTAGCATCAATTTGACTTCTCAGTGTTTCCTAGTCCGCAAAAGGTAGATGGTTATTTCATATTGTAGCCCAAATATCTGTATTTATAAAAATTATAAAAGAAGTTGAATGATGTTCATGACATTGTCATGTTTTTATTTTTTAGGACAGTGCAACACTTTGAATCGATACTCGGATCATCGGACTAGCCTCCGGTCTGCGTGGTAAACGAAATGAGCCCCCCATCCATTCTACCAGCCTCTCTGAGCCGTTATGGTGAGACTCCACTCTTCCGCCTCAGAGACCGTGCGCCGTCCCGGACGGGGAGCGGACGGGCGGTGGATGGCGGCTATTCAGACCGCTTCGTTATCGTCCTCCGCAGCAGAGCAGCCGGCGATGGATCGCCGCTCCGCTCCGGCTCTCCGGCTCCGGGCGTCGGCAACAGTTTCGCCTCGGGGTAATTTGGTGGCGGTGAGAGGAGCACCGCCGTCCCGGGGCGGCTGGGTCTCCATCAGCCCGCTGCCTCCGGGGTGTCGATGTGTGGCTGGTGGCCGGCGCGTCTGCCGCCGACAGCCGCTAGGGTCGGCCGGCCGGCCGCTCCGCCAGCGCCGCCGCTCCCAACAGACCCCCGCAGGTGGGCGCGGGCCGAGTGTTTGCCGGCCGTGTCGGCTGCAGCCAGGCTGATTGCCGGGCGCTGCTCTATTGGTATTCACGACTGTTGACACGCGCCGGGGCGGCCGGCGGTCGCTAGCTGTCGGAACGGCACACGGCTGGCGGCCGGCGACTGTTGGCGGGGCCTGACTGGAATCGATGAGGGTGAAATACGGGCACGGGACAAATTGTCTGTGAAAATACGCATGTAACTCTGCGACGCGTACAATTTGTTTCTTGTCTTTTCTTTTGTGAACCGCAAGCATATGTAAATGGTCTTCTACTGAATAAAAATAGTGTTGGCTTGACGTCGTAAGTGCGTTTTTGACGAACAATTGAACACGGGAAAAGCTTAAATCGGACTTGTTTATAGCAGATTAGCGCAGCTCAGAGGGGCGTGCACGTGCATAATCATATGCATGATGATCTACGCCAAGTGTTGTTGATCAACAACACTTGGCCAATTCGTTATTTTAGTCGGGAAAAATCTAAAACTGCTAAAAATCCGTTAATATGAGTACCTATAGTTTGAAAATAGTCAAGGAATAAGTATAGAAACTCACTGAGATCAGAAATGCGCTCTGTTGTTCCTCCTTGGCATATTTTCTTTCGGCTGTTCTTTTTGGTCTTTTTTTTAACGTCGGATCCAGGCCCAGGGTCGTTATGATGAAGACTAAAATTGAAAATGATTGAACTGAACGCTAATAGTAATGCGACCACCGGCCAACGTCGCAGCGGCTTAGCCTTTCTCTTTGGACGGGAGATCAGCCTTAGACCCAAACGGTTACTCCTGAGGGGCATGCTCCTTCGAAGACGCTGCCCTCCATCGGTTGTCTGGTATGGTAAGGCCCAGACATGAGAATGAGATCAAGGATGACCGATGGATGGACTGGTTCTGAAAATGAAGACTGAAAATAGCAAAGAACACAGTGAGGGAAAGGAGCGATTGGTTGAGTTACTGTGTCGTTGATTAGCACCACTCCCTTTGAAGATTGGTATTGAGAAGAGGACATTAGCGGCGGAACACCTTGCCCATAGGGCTAATGTTAAAATGGCAAAATCAAGGGGGCACGGTGCTCCGGTGCCCCCCCCCCCCCCCCCCACTCGTTCCGCCGCTTATGGAAGATGAGAACATTGACGGGACCTTCGTTACAACGCATGCAGCTCTCAAGCCTCCTCTTCATACCGATTTGTTTTCATGTTTTTCAACAGGTAGACCCAGACCATTGTATGCTCAAGGACAGCCGCCAGATCTACACGTTGCTATGCAGGCTGATGATATTTGTTGTGGTGTAACCGTTCCGCTTGCACTTGCCGTGGCGAAAACATTGAGGGCTTCGGGGACCCGTGGCTGCTGCTGCTGGATTATTCTGCAGCGCCACCTGTCCGAGCATGGAAAGTGCAGTACTTTTCACCGACACTAGATGTCAGGGCAGTGCTCAGTTACTACCAGCCGACCGCACCGAACAGGGTCTGGTTTTCGGTAGAAGCACATGTGACAAGCTGGACTTACCTCGGTGATCATATTTAGGACATACGGTACGGTCGGGTGACAGTCGTCCTAGTCCGCTGAGAGTGAGGCAATGTATGTTGTTAGAGGGAGCGCCTCAAACCGCAAGATATTTAGGTGCATTACCGTCTAGGACTTTCGCTCATTTTATGGTGAAGCGTCCGGCCTGGCCAACATCCGCCCTTACTATCCTCAGGACCAGCTCCTCATCAAATGATCCCACTTCCTTCTCTGGTCTGACGGTCTCCCCATCCAGACAGCCTGTGTAGAGCGGCTCCAATGGGAGCACGTCACTCTGGGGTGCCTGGCAGATCGGCCGGGCCCCGCCTGTCCCACGGGACGCTTCTGTCTCAACGGGATGGGCTCGGCCGCTGCGGCGTAGCACTTCGATGCTCAACGCAGCCCCATTTCCACACCTAGCCCTTTTAACCCTTTTATCCCACGCATGGGTGGAGCTTTTCCAGGGAAGTTGGTGGGGCAAAAACTCGTCCGTCAAACCCACAATGTCCGATTATAAAGTTGAATAAAATGCCACACTGAATCAATTCCTATCATTACAGACATATTATTTTGCATTAAACAGACATTCCAAAGCTATTCAATGCGAAAAAGATTAATTTGCAAAGCAACAAAGTCTTAGAAATCAGCTAAAGTTGGTGGGGCAAAACGCTTATTGGTGGGGCAAAATACCAAGTTGGTGAGGCAGCCGCCCCACCAACTGTATAGGAAGCTCCGCCCCTGATCCCACGGCCCTGAAATGTTTTTGAAATAGGCCGGAAAAGAATGTTCCTCGCTTAAAACGATCTGGTTTTCTGTCTGGGTCCACCATTTCTGGTACAACAGTTCCTTACAGGCTCAAGCTAAAACCGATATGTTAATTCTATACGCTTGCATTTTTCTTTTGGTTCTGGGGCTGCAGTGCTTCGGCAATGAACGAATTGTTTACGAGGACGGACACACCGGTAATGTTTTAGGCGGCTTACGGCGCTCTGGCCACTTGCTGCGTAAGCCAAGGAATAATGAATATAGGTATTTGTCGTCTACCGACGCAGTTCACAAGTTGTTGAAGGCACCCCCATGATCGCCGAGCCGCCGGGCTTGCAGTTTGAATCTGGCCGTATTTTCCTCCTATCGTCCCACGGAATTTTTTCTTTGTTAGATTGAGTGTATGCAAACCCTTGATTTCAGCTCGAGTGCTTCAAAATATTAATTGGCCTTTGTTGATCATGTTTTTAGGCGAACAATTTTATTTTGTCAGCTAATAAAATACATAAACCTCCGTCGCTTATTTTGTCGCTGTTGCAAGTGATTTTGCCCTGGTTTATATCAGCACATCTCCCATTACCTATATTCAGTAACGGTCTGTGCCAGGTATTTTCGCACGGTTTGGCGTGATGTCCATGGTGTGGCGCAATGCTTGCTCCTCATAATTTGCATGGGCTGATGTATAGTGTTGGCTTAATTGCATGTTGTTGCCGAATTATAGATAAATAGTGGGTACACCATGCCGGATCTAATTGGTTGTTTGTTACTTGCCTTGGTGGACGTTCGCGGAATTTCCTTCGGTCTTTTATTTAATCGCATTAGGAAACCGCGGATAACTACATCGGGAAACTAGGGTGGTACAAGCAAAATTCTCTGTTCAGCAGCTGTAGCTGACACCAAAAGAGTTCCTTCCACGGAGGCTGACAGGAGGCCGTTGACACAGCCTGACGGCACGCCAGTCCAGTCCGGACAATGTGTCACAAACAGGGACACAGTGCTCCACCGCCCCAAATCAGTTCTACGTAATAATTATGACTGAAATCGCGGGCGACGGCAGTTAGTGCGTCAGTGTAATAATGCGTCATTATGGTTAATTGCGTCAGTGGGTCGCATTGACTGGCGCCTCCAATTGCCCCCCACCCCCGCCGGCACCCCTTCAATGCACCGCTCCCCAGTTCCGTTCGGTGTTGTGCAGCCCGTCTGTGACGCAAATGCACACATGCAACGGGGACGTCACGCGGCCGAGCGGCGTCTGTTTCATACAGCACAACTATTCTGAGTTTAATTTTACATAAGTATAGGAGTAATGTGAATACAAGTGTGGCAGTGACGCAAATTCACCACGTCACTCCCTGCAGGTTTTCTGATGAAGCTAGTGTGAACACAAATATATTATCTAGGGGCATTTTATCTATCATCTCCCGTCATTGACTGAGAGTAGCGGTTTTTGTTTCCGATTCCGATAAATGCAAAAGCTGCTAAAAGCCATCAAAGGTCGTTTTATGTTCCGAGAGAAAGGCTTATCTAATTCGAATGGCAAGGTGTCTCGTTCGGTCCGTGCTAATATGACCTAAAAACATCTCAGTGGTCTGTCATTGCCCTCCAGACAAGCACGGCAGGTCTCTGCGTTGTGACATTGCCGCGTCATCTGCGTTTGTGGCGCTGTCAGAGAACGGTGTCACCTGCTGCTCTCAGCTGTTCGCCGGTGACCCGGCTGACCGGTGAGCGGTCACACGGCACGCGCTCGGCTCTCCGCCGTCCCCCTCACCTACTGAAGACACACCGACACCGGCTCGGCGCGGCGCGGCGCGGATTGGCCGGTGGGGGCGCCGTGGACCCTCCCTCGGCTGCCGGGCCGCCGCGCGGCCGGCCGCCAGTGGAGCCGCGCCCGCCGAGCAGGGGGTGCGCCGCGTCTGTCACCGGCGCGACGACAGTGCCGCAAAGGGCGATAGGGGACTGTGTGGCTGGAGTGGCTGTACTGAGGGCGGCGCTGAGTGCGGGGACGAGGAACTGAGTGCCGGCGAGGCAGCGACGGACCCGACGGAGCATCTCCCCGCGAGTGGACACTGTCACGGTAGGTGTTGGCCGGCTCTGACGACGGCGAGACGGGTGACACGGACACGGTCTCTTGGAAATGCCCCATCCACTTGTCACGTCGGGATTAACATTGTCTATCCTTTATCCCTCCGCTCGCGACTGGAAGGTCTGCAGTACGCTGTACGCAACGGTTATATCTTATTGTTGCTTCACTAATTTAGGTCTCTTCCGGTCGAGTGTCGTCTATATTTCCTTGTTTATCCATCATCTTGATTGAATGGTGTGCTCTCTGTCGTATACATGTGATGGAATGCGGCTACATCTGATCGGAATCCTGATATAACTGGTCGGTGGTCTGACCCGACCCGGTCCCCGACTTAACCTGAACTGACCGGGTCCCCGTTGACCTGACCCGACCTGTCATATATTCCCGGTCGCGGTGCCGCTCGCTGCTGCTTATTTCCGGCGCTGCTGTCTGCCGATAAAGCTGTGCAATACCGGGAACCGCATCCGCCGGCTGCAGAGGGGGGGGGGGCTGCACGACCCGACCCCCTGCACTAGGGAAGGGGCGCAGGGGACCCGGCCCAGTGACTGCTCGGCTATTGGAAGCAGGGAAGGCCCGGATCAGAGCTAGTGTGGGGCTCAGGTGCTGCCGGGTTCACCGCGGTGAGATATGGTGTCGGGCTCCACGATCGCGCCCTGTGGTGAGGTCTCGTTTAGTCTCTGAATACCCGCGCCCTGCGCCACGCCAGTGTATCGCGAAATGTACGCCAGCTACGCACTACGCTCGTGTGCCCATGGCATTGTGACGAAGGGATGACTTGGTCGAGAGACAGGGAGTTATCAGTCGACAAACTGCACTGCTTGTTGTTACAGCCGGCCGGCTGACCGGCGGGCCGGGCCGGCTGTCGCCCCGAGCTCCGGCGCCCCGCCCCGCCCCGGGAGGAGGGGGAGGGGAGGGGAGCGAGGGGTGCCACCGATAGGCCCTGGCGGGCTGCCAGCCGGCCGACGCGGCGGTGTCGCCCCGGCCCGGGCCGTGCTCGCCGTGCTCGGCCGTGCTGGGGCGTTCTGCCGCCGCCGGCCAGAGTAGAACGTCCGGTGCATAATGAACATACAACGCGGTTGTATGGACGTTGGATCATGAGCAAAGACGGTGACCGTCTATAGGGTGACCGATTGTGGAAAGCTGCCTGAACGACGGCATGGTTATTTCGTAGTCGATTAGGGCCATCGAGTCGGATGATTTAGGCGTGTCTTGAACGGGTTAAACGATCTTGAACTCGTCTTCAGCGATGATCCGTTATGAGTGGCTTGTGGGTGTGAATTAGGAGACAGACGATGGCTTTTGCAAGCTGCATTACAACAAAACTGTTGGTTGCTAAACTCCCGTTACCGTGCAAAACAACCCAAAGCCGCCTGTTGATCGTCAACGGTTGTTGCTCAGCCTTGTGTAGAGGTGCGGAACCCGATGGCTTGGAGTGAGCAAATACCTATCCACTACGAAAAACACAAAAACAACCTATCATTCTACCACTAGAAGCGCTAAGGTAACACAAGGGACCAGTCTGCATCTTGTCACAGGTGGTCACGCACGACAAATTTAGTTTTCCAGCGTTACTGTCGTCAGAGGCACGTATTTGCCTACCAGTGAGAGCTGAGGGGCGTCTTTGAAGTATTAGCGAGAACCACAAGTTAATTACGAAAGGAACTGGCTAGAATGCAATTTCTCTTATGGCTAAACTCCCTCCATTATTTTTATGTTGCAATATTATATCAGAGGACATATATTTATCTCGGCTCTGGAAGCTGTCTTCGACTGCTCTCCCAGATCTCAATTATGCTAATTTTCTCCTAAAGCATCATCATATTGTGCTGTAGGACATATGCTTCCGCTCGGTTTTGTTGCGCATGCTGTCTCGAACTGAGCGGGAAATGGCATACCTCACACCGGACGCTCAGCGGCAAATGTGCTCCTTTGCATTTATCATGGCGCTTACATTATTCAGAGTGGCCTGTTTTATACCGAGTCATGGTGTGGGGACCGGAGGGACCTCGCTGCCCGCCGGTCCACCGAGGATAAGACGGGCTGGGTAACGGTAGTCGCCGGCGCCGCGCCGCGCGGAGCCATCCGGTAGGCCTGTTCGTCGGACGGCTCTTAAGTTTCATCAGGGGATCTCTCCCCGCCAAACGGCTTTAGTCCACAAATTTCCTGCTCGTGCATAATCCGCCGAAACGAAATCATGCTGGCATCGGTATGTTTTCACCATGGAGCCTGTGTTCAGCGACCATGCTCAGCCGGCAGCGGGCCGTAAAAGCGGTCCGAGTGGAGCGCTCTGAGTCAGAGCCGGCGCGCTCATCAGCTTACATACATTTACCGGGCGCGCCCAGCTGCACGTGGCTAACGCTAGCTACTTTGGTCGAGGGGCGAGCCGGCCGCGCCGGCTTACGGCACCCACTTGCACGTGCTTGACTAATTGCGGAGCCCGTTTCCGCGAACGTCAGTGCGCCACCGCCTTCCGCTCGTCGTGCAGCGTTACCGTCACCCCTGCTTTATGACGCCGAGCAACCTCTTTGTTGGCTTAATTGCTGCTTTCGCTTACTAAGATTATATCACGAACCTGTGCATGGCAGCGGTGTGATTTTGGTTTTGAAACTCGCGATCTCTCCGTGAATTTCAGCCATTTCCGATGTTGTAATAACCAGATGTTACATGTATTTTTTGTTCTCTCCTATTTTCGACGGAGTGATTAGATTCGTTCGCGGTTTACATTCTCGGAACATTAGCTGGTCTCTGTTAGTTACTGTTAGAATAATAACATAGCCCGTCCCGTCTAATGCACAGGTTCTGTGTGCCGCGGATGTAGATATAATAGGTATTAGGTAATATCAGCCCTTTCTATAGTGTCTGTGGCGACTGGCGACTGAGTCTTTGAAGTGGCGAATAATAACGTTAATCGCAAGGTGAATAGGCCCGGGCAGCGCTTGTCGAACAGCACTGCGGATCCGAAGGTTGGGACTTTAATTGTGAAAAACCGCCCGCCCGTATTCGCAAGGTGAATAGCAACAATGCTTGTCATAGATCTTAAAGAATCAGTGGATTTTCTTGCATTCACATGCAGAGTGACTTCATTCATAGCAAGCCAGCTGCAGTGGACAGGGACACCTGTTGCCCTCTGCTCTGACGCATGGCTCGAGCAGTTCGGCCATACGATATTATTGCTTTTGAATGAAATCATCATTGAGGAACCTTCGAGCTGAGCAGTTGAGCACCCTCCAGCGCAGTGAACTACTCAGTGCAATCTCGAGAAGTCCAGAACTCTTGCAGCTCAGTCCGAGTACTTAGCATGACGCTGGGTAGGCCAATGACCTTTGAGCGCACCGAATACGAACCCAGCTCAACACAAACCCCGCACCGATCCCCCTCCACTCTGCGTCACGACATGACGATGACGTCACAGTGTGATGACGTCACTCGGGGTGAGGGAGTCTGCCCTGTTCTGGCCCGCTGGAGCGGCGTGACTAAACTCAGTACCGAGCTCTCCCTCCAGATCATTGGACAAACCTGTGGAGAACTCGGAGGCTGCCGCTCACACTTGGGGAAACACACCAGCAGACCGGGATCCGGGGTCGGCCCGACTTCTCCCCAACTGCCGCCCTGCCCCCGCCACTTCCGCCCGGCTGGCCTGGCGGCTCCGACGGCCAGCCAACTTTGAATGGTCGGCGGTGCGCGGCGGAAACCGGCCCAGATGGGTGGAGACTGGCTCATTGATTTCGCCACCCTCAGCCCTGACCTGGCCCCGCGCCGCGGCGTCAGGCGTCTCCGGAGCTGACCTTGCCCGGTCCGGCAGCCGGTGCCATACCATTCCTCTGCTCCGGGACTGTCTGTGACGCTCTCCTCACCGAGCCATCGACCTGCTCGTGTAAATCTCCGACCGCGAGCTCTCAACAGGTGTTTCACCTGACAGTTATGGCACGGCCGGCGGCGACTGCTGACTTACCCGGGCCGGCTGAACACACTAGAGCTGGGTCGTGAACATGCCGAGCGCCTCGCGGTGGGTTTCCCCCGTCTTGGCTGCACTCCGCTCCCGTCGGCTCCCGTTTAGCGTTGTGGTCTACCTGGAGAAGCATTGAGTGTCGAAAGTCGGCCGCATCTTGACTCAGTCACGTTCATTTTGGGCTGTTGATTTGTCACATTGTCTTGGCGTCATATTGTTCCATCGTTACACCGTCACTCGCGGGCGTGTCACGCTGTTCGCGGGCGTTGCTCCCGTCTGAGCCGGCAGCCGTCGGCGGTGGCGCGGAGACGCTGGCTCAGCCCGAGGTGAGCTAAAGGTCAGATCAATTAGCGCGCTGTTTAACCCAATCGGGCGTGTTTGGCGCGCCACAATGGTGGCCGCGCGGCCCGGGGCGGCTCGGCGCGCGGCACAAGTCCCGTGATTGCGGCCGGCGCCGCGCCGGGAATTAGTAACGAGCTGCGGCCGCCCCCCGGGTTCGGACGGGTAGGCGGGAAGGACGGGGTGACGGGCGGGAGCGGCGGCGGGGCGGGACATGGCTCCCGTGCATGTTGGGATGTTGATAGGCGAGATGGTACAGCATAGAGGCGTTCAAAGATCATGCATCCGATTACGTTACGGATCTTTCATTGTGTAATGTGCCATATTGTCTGGAAATACGATTGGGGATCGTCCTTCCTCGTTGGCTGCTTCGTTTTGTACGGAAGAACATCTTCATTTAAATAATTTGTCATGAAATTTGCTGAACCGTCATTTGGGATTCCTTTCACTTTGTTTGTTTTCTTCCATCATGCCACATCGCGCATGCATTCTATGACTTTCTAGAACGGACAAATGCAATAACGACGTTCTCTACGTTGAATTGGTGATGGGACATTCCCAGACTTTTAATAATGAACTTTTATTGTCGGGTTATATCGCCGCCTTTGCCCTCATTTGCCTACACATGTCGCCAGGCTCGCGACGTGTGTTCTAACGCGCCCTGGGTGTAATTTGCTTTGTACCCGTTACCCATTAGATGCAG